GAGCTTCAGATTCTATGGAGAATTATAGAAGTGAAATGCTGGGCTTCCCACCCTTCCTTCCCTCCCACCAGAACAGATGACCACTGGCACTCTGCCTGGATGCGCCACAGCCAAAGAAACCAGGAATAACCTACCATTTCCTCACACACCCACCTTCTCTTCCTTACTTTTGGCTCGTTTGCGTAGTAAAGACGAGTCGCCATTTGCATCTTCTTCTTCGTCACTGTCTGCAACAAACCTCTGGAAGCTGTGTGAGGGGGGCAAAGACAGGTCAGCACCATTCCAGATTGGATTACTGTAATGCACTTTACATTGGGCTGCCCTTGAAGACGGCTCGGAAATTTCAATTGGTACAATGGGCGGTAGCCAGGTTACTAACTAGAGCTACTTATAGGGAGCAGTCAACCCCCGTTTAAGGAGCTCCATTGGCTACCGTTCATTTTCCAGTCCCAATTCAAGGTCAGGTTCTTACCTACAAAGCCTTGAACAGTTTGGGACCCGCCTACCTGCGTGACCACATTTCTGTGTAGGAACCTAAGTGATCGCTTCAATCATCTGGAGAGGCCCTGCTCTCGCTCCTGCCACCTTCGCAGGTGCAATTGGTGGGGACGAGGGAGAGGGCCTTCTCTATGGTGGCCCCCAACTCTGGAACTCACTCCCCAAGGTTATCAGACAAGCCCCCACATTGGCAGTCTTTAGGAGGAGCCTGAAAACGTGCCTGTTCCAGTGTGCCTTCCCTGAATAAAAGTAACAATGCCCTGCTCTGACCAATTCCTTGCAAAATGTCCTCAGAAGGGTTGGGTTGGGTTGGATTGCTCTTCCTACATTTCCTTTAAAACCCTCCTGCTTAGATACATCCTACTCTGTTCACGCCCAGTGTTTATTTTAAAATTTTAAACTATTACATCTGGCCTGGCCATAGTTTTTTATTTTTTTTTAATTTGTGTGTTATTGCCTATATGTGAGTTATATTAATTGTATTGTTTTATTTGCTCATTGCTTTGTTGTTTACTGATGTGTTGTTGGGTTTGGCGTCATGTAAGCTGCCCTGAGTCCCCTTTAGGAGATGGTGGCGGGGTATAAATAAAGATATTATTATTATTATTATTATTATTATTATTATTATTATTATTTTGAAAATATTTTATTAAGTTTTATAATAATACAACAAATGAGAACAATAAAAATATAGGAAAGAGATGGAAAAAAAGAGAAATAGGAGAGATATAAGAAAAAAAAGGAAAAGGAAAAAGAAAAAAGTAGAAAAATAATAAAAAATAATGAAAAAAATATAAAAATACAGAAAAAATACAAAAAAATACTACCAAAATTTAAAAAATACTACAAAAAATACAAAAAATTGACTTCCACTCCATCTTCTTGGTTAAAGTCTTTTTTATCAAAATCTGCTAATAAAAATATCTATTGTAGTCTCTATTTTTTGATGCTCTCCAGATAGCTATTGAAGAGGTCCCAATTTGTTCTTTTTAAAGTATTCCCGGTATTCTTTTTCAGCAAAAAAGTCAATTCATCCATATCTTTAATCTCTCTCATTTTATCTAACCACCCATCAATGGGCGGATTTAATTCTTGTTTCCATTCTCTCGCGAAAACAATTCTGGCGGCAGTCGTAATATACGTAAAGAGTTTGTCTTCTTCTTCATTTAACTGTAAATCTAAATCTGTGAATCCTAAAAGATAATATTCTGGTTTTTTTGAAGTTTCTTTTAAAAAAAATTGTCTCTCTTCGTGAATTTGATACTGTTTTGCAAGACCACCACATATGGTAAAATGATCCAACTTGATCATGACATTTCCAGCATTTATCAGATACTGTTTTGTACATTTTGGCTAATTGTTTCGGTGTAGTGTACCATCTGTGGAACATTTTCAACCAATTCTCCTTTAGATCCATAGCATAAGTATATTTCAGTTTTTTGTTCCCATTCTTTCATTTGAATTGGTCTTCTCAAATTCTGTGCCCACTTTATTATACATGATTTAATTTGATCTTTTTCAGTTAACCAGGTTAGCAGCAAGTTATATATATATGTTACTAACTTTTTTCCAGCTTTAATATCTTATCCCATCTTGATTATTATTATTATTATTATTATTATTATTATTCATTCATTCATTCATTCATTCAAGGTCATGAGAATGTAAAAAGATTACATTCACCATCGGGAACTCTGCAAAGCCAACTACGAGGTTTTCCTAAATGCTAATTCTCCTGGTATTTTGGACTTAGAATAATAGAGTTGGAAAAGACCTCATGGACCATCCAGTCCAACCCCATTCTGCCAAGAAGCAGGAAAATTGCATTCAAAGCACCTCCGACAGAGGGCCATCCAGCCTCTGCTTAAAAGCCTCCACCACACTCCAGGGCAGAGAGTTCCACTGCTGAACAGCTCTCACAGTCAGGAAGTTATTCCTAATGTTCAGATGGAATCTCCTTTCTTGTAATTTGAATCCATTGTTCTGCATCCTAGTCTCCAGGGCAGCAGAAAACAAGGGATTTCAACTCCCACAAGTCTCAGCTGCATTGGTCAATAATCAGGCATTCTGAGAGGTGAAGTTCCAAACTTCTGGAAGGCCAGAGTTTGGGAAACACGGGAACATTGGAGCAATCATTCCCACAGTAAACTTAAGGGCTACCCTACTTTGCCCCAGAGCAAGCCTACAGAGCAGACTGGCCAACGTGTATCCCTAGCGCCCCTGCTTTACAACTCTGTCAACTTCCCAAAAGTTCCTAATAACCTGTTTTTTGTGGTTAAAATATGCTCCTCAAAGATTTGGTCCCCTTGCCCCTCACTACCCTTCCGCAGAATATCCTTGAAGACCTTTTGGAAGTCAATACATGAAACTGGAAGAAAGATTTTTGTCACTGCTGGGAGCACCAAGAATGACACTATAGCTTCCTTCAGAGTTGCCCAACCCTACCACAAGGGAAAGACTCCAGGAAATCATCTTCCTGTGGTTATCACAGACAGAACATGACGTGTTTACGGACATCATTGCTGTTAGAACTCAGGAAAACCCTAGTTCAAGGGAAAGAACAATCTCAATGGGAATTAGCAGCCCCCAGTCCACTGTAGATATTCAGTTCCCCAGGAGACAAGAGGGAAAGAAGTGAGGGATGCTTTTATGCTTTTGTCGTGTCAGAAGTGACTTCTGGTGTGAGATAATTGGCCATCTGCAGAGACGTTGCTCAGGGGACGTCCAAATGTGTTATCATCCTGTGGGACACTTCTCTCATGTCCCCAATTGGGAAGCTGGAGCAGACAGATGGGAGCTCACCCCATCTTGTGGATTCTAACCACCAACCCTCAGATCAGCAGTTCAGCCAGCACAAGGGTTTAACCCAGTGGTCCTCAACCTTCCTAATGCTGGGGCCCCTTAAGACAGTTCCTCATGTTGTGGTGACCCCCAACCATAACATTATTTTCGTTGCTACTTCACAACTGTAATTCTGCTACTGTTATGAATCGTAATGTAAATATCTGATATGCAGGATGTATTTTCATTCACTGGATCAAATTTGGAATAATAATAATAATACTTTATTTATACCCCGCTACCATCTCCCCAAGGGATTCGGTGCAGCTTACATGAGGCCAAGCCCACAGTACACCAATAACAAAAGCAATAACAACAACAATCAATACAATACAATTAATAAATCACAGAAACAATAAACAATAAACAGTAACACACAAGCATTTAAGAACCTATGGCCGGGCCAAATGCAATAGTTTAATTTTTTTTTTAAAAAATGCTGGGCATGAACAAGGTAGGATATAACTGGTATAGGGTTTCCAAAGAGAGATGAGGGAACGCAGTCAGTCCTAAATCAGTAGTAGAGTGCATTTTGAGGGAATATTGCTGAGAGTTTTCCTTATTCTGGGAAGGCACCACATTTTCAGGCTCCTCCTAAAGGAGTTGGGGCATGTCTCATGTCCTTGGGAAGTGAGTTCCAGAGTCAGGGGGCCACCACCAAGAAGGCCCTCTCCCTCATCCCCACCAATCGCGCCTGCAAAGGAGGTGGGAGTGTGAGAAGGGTCTCTCCAGATGATCAAAGAGATCATGTGGGTTCGTACACAGAAATGGGGTCACACATACCTAATACATCCAAATTTGAATACTGGTGGGATTGGGGGAGCATTGATTTTGTCATTTGGGAGTTGTAGTTGCTGGTATTTATAGTTCACCTACATCCAGAGAGGACTGTGGGCTCAAACAATGATAGATCAGGACCAAACTTGGCACAAATACTCAATATGCCCAAATGTGAACACTGGTGAAGTTTGGGGAAAATAGGCCTTGACATTTGGGAATTGTAGTTGCTGGGATTTATGGTTCACCTACAATCAAAGAGCATTCTGAACTCCACCAATGATAGAATTGGGCCAAACTTCCCACACGGAACTCCCATGACCAACAGAAAATACTGTGTTTTCTGATGGTCTTTGGCGACCCCTCTGACACCCCCTCGTGACTCCCCCAGGGGTCCCGACCCCCAAGTTGAGAAACAGTGGTTTAACCCATTGTGCCACCGTGGCTCCAAGAGTTGCTAAGAAGGTGGAAAATCAATTTCCCTTCCAATTATATACATATCAGATATTAACCACAAGCAAAATATGCACACACATAAGCAGCAAGGAAAGACAATACAAGACTGTGAAGCTGAAGGTGCATTTCCCAGCAACTCACTCTTTCTCACCTCTGTTTCAGCTGCTTTTGTTCTTCCACATAGCTCTGTCAAATAGTGGAAGGAAGAGGGAAGATTAGCACAGTATGCTATAATTCACTGCAGCCTTTTCAACATTCCCATGAAAACACTAGTTTTCTAGATGTACAGTTATCACTCCAGATTCGCAGGGGTTAGGGGTGAGAGAGGAAAAATGCAAATAAAAACTGAGAACACCTCTCTAGGAATTTCCAGACCCTCCAGTGCAACTCCGTTGGAAGTTGGACATAAAGTTGTACTAGAGGACCTAGAGATTTCTACAGAGAATATATTTTTTAAAAAATATTTTATATTATTTTATCATGGTTCAATACATTTGTTATACATTCTTTGTTTTACAGCAGATACATATTATTCAATACAACCTACCATACTTTAACTTTTGGCATCTAGTGTTATTTTTCTGCTTATACATATTATCTATTACAGAGAACATATTAATCATATCCACAAATAATCAAATTGTGGGTTGTGGCTCAGCTGGCTGAGTGTCAGCTACATTAAGATCACTCTGACCAAAAGGTTATGAGTTCAAAGCCAGCCCGGGTTGGAGTGGGTTTCCAACTAATTGTGTGTAGCCTGTTGTCGACCTTTGCAACTCGAAAGACAGTTGCATCTGTCAAGGAGGAAAATTAGGTACCACCTTAAAAGTGTGGGGAGGCTAAATTAACTAATTTATGAGGCCATAAAGAAGACTCCAGCAAAGCATTCCAGCGGGGAAGCATGCGGGGAATGCGGAAGTGCTTCATCAGCGTCGCAGATGGATGAAAGCGACAGCTCCCCTGGCGGCCAGAAAAAGTTAAATAGCCTCTGTGTATGTCTGTATATGTTTGTATGTCAAAAATTGGCATTGAATGTTTGCCATATATGTGTACACTGTAATCCGCCCTGAGTCCCCTGCGGGGTGAGAAGGGAGGAATATAAAAGCTGTAAATAAATAAATAAATAAATAAATCCACAAAAGTAAAAGTCACACATGTAGAGGGATGAGTATACAGTGAACCCAGTGCCCCTCCATGCCTCACCTTTGGATTTTTAATTGCTGCTGCTTCCTCCTCCTCCTCCTCCTCTTCATCTTCATATTTGCTATAGGGAGAAAAAACAGGATTATATTGACAGATCCCTCCACCCCACAGGAAACATGGGTCTGGAGATAAAACATTTAAGATTGCAGTGCTTCTCCCCAATTGAAAGCAAAACTTTTAGCTTCTAAGACTGCTTCCATTTGATGAAGTAATCACAATCAGATCTAGGCATAAGGAATGGTTTAGTACCAGGAGTGCCCATAACTCATCCTAAAGGCTAATTTGGCATGTACTTACTGAGGCAAGTGATCACATACCTTCCTATCCTGATCAATCTAGCAAAGGGAAGGAAAGAGTACCCAGCTTTTTGAGTTGTGAAGCTAGGTAGGGCTATAGGAAGGAACAAAAATGTTTGATATTTAGTGAGTTTTACCATTTTACCATCCAGGTATTAAATAAGAAATGAGATGTTATGTTCCATATTGATTAGTATGACTGTGTTGTTTTGATATTGCCATCAAAATGACGGCACCGGGATTGTGGCGCAGCTGGCTGAGTGTCAGCTGCATTAAGATCACTCTGACCAAAAGGTCATGAGTTCGAAGCCAGACCGGGTTGGAGTGGGCTTCCAACCAATTGTGTAGCCTGTTGTCGACCTTTGCAACCCGAAAGACAGTTGCATCTGTCAAGTAGGAAAATTAGGTACCACCTTAAAGTGTGGGGAGGCTAAATTAATTGATTTATGAGGCCATAAAAGAAGACTCCAGCAAAGCATTCCAGCGGGGAAGTATGCGGGGAATGCGGAAGTGCTTCATCAGAGTCGCAGATGGACGATGAAAGCGACAGCTCCCCTGGCAGCCAGAAAAAGTTAAATAGCCTCTGTGTATGTCTGTATATGTTTGTATGTCAAAAATTGGCATTGAATGTTTGCCATATATGTGTACACTGTAATCCATCCTGAGTCCCCTGCGAGGTGAGAAGAGTGGAATATAAAAGCTGTAAATAATAAATAATAATAAATTTAATATTATTTTATATGTAACAGCATTTAGTGTTCATTCAAATGTAACAGTTTACATATCTGACCGCTCTGATCTAGAGTGGACAGCAGTGACTAGTACATATGAGTGTATTTGTGGCACATCACAAATAATTAAATCTTATTTTGTTTCAAATACCAAGGTACCAACAGTATTTGAAAGCTGATTGCACTGATACATAGTGGACAGCAGTAATTAGTATATGTGAGCAGTAGTAATTAAATTAAATATCATGGGTCAAATACCAACATTTCAAGTACAGGGAGAAGTCAGCAAAAATTACTCTTTTTCCATCATTAAATTACATTAACATTACATAACAAATATTTCAATAAAAAAGATTGGACATAAATCTTTGATTGCTTTATTTCTTTATTTAATTTAATATATTTCACCTTTCTCCTTGTATGACACCAAGATGGCCTATAAGATAATTTGTAGACTACTGAAAATATTTATTTATTTATTTATTTATTTATTTATTTATTTATTTATTATTTAAACTTATATGCCGCCACTCCCCTGGGGCTCGGAGCGGCTTACAAGAATGGCTAAAATCTAACAAAATTTAAAAGCAATCTAAAACAATTTAAAAACAGCAGAATCAAACATTAAAAGCCTGTCAAAACAGGTATGCCTTACATGCCCTGCGGAAAGCTGGTAAGTCCCGCAAGGCACGGACTTCAGGTGGCAGAGTATTCCAGAGTGATGGTGCCACTGTTGTGAAGGCTCTGCGTCTGGTTGTTGTTAGATGCAAGGTCTTGACACTGGGGACTGCCAATAGATCTTGGTCCTCAGAGCGGAAGAATCTCTGGGGTTGGTAGGGTGTGAGGCGGTCCCTCATGTTCATCGGCCCCAGACCATGCAAGGCCTTAAAGGTGAGTACCATCACTTTGAAAGTGATCCGGTGCTCAATTGGTAACCAATGCAGCTGCAGTAAGATTGGTGTTATGTGGCATCTCATCTGAATTCTCCATGGAATGGCCATTCCTCAGTACACAGTAAACAGACAGAAATTCAAGATACTATTCACAGGAGAAGTCTTGACAGACGTTGGCAGAGGTGGAGGGATGGGCGCTCGGGTTCAGCTGCGGGGAATGGGGCAGCTGAGAGCGATGATGAAGGAGTGGGGAGCTCCTCAGCTTCTAACGAGGAACTTTAGGATAAAAATGGAGTTTTGTTGTATGGATCTTTGCAGAAGGCAAAGTGTCTCTTTTGGGGTGTGAATCTTTGTTGCTGCCAATTCTCGAGCTTGGGTCCTTGGACTACAGATTCCTGTGTTCCTGTGTTTACTTCTACTCTGCCGCTTGACTCCGGACCGTTTTGACCAATGCTTTTTTGCCACTCGGATTTGGACTTCTTGCCTACCACGTGCTTCGACCTTGGAAGGGGATACTAGAAGAAATCTTCATTCCCATCTGCTGTCCTTGCTATGTTACCCTCCCTTCTGGCCAACCTTTTCACCTCTCCCCTCAAATGACCAACACAGACATCCTACTCCAGACTGGGACACAAGAAGCTTATTGCCTGTCCTTATCAGGGATAAAAAGGTCAGAAGACAATGTGCAGAAGGAAGAGCAAGAAACTGGTTGTGCATATTAACGGCTCAAAGGAGAAATCGGACATTGGATTTGAGTTGTGATTAAAGTTCTGCTGGAACAGATCTAATTTGAACAGAAATAATTGAAAAGTGAACAGAGGTTGCAATTCTGCATATTTTATGCCGCCAAGCCCACTTATGTATGAGCAAAAATGCATTACACCCATACTACTGCTATCGTGTTGTGCCTACAACTCATTTCTGAGTTGTAGGCAACCCTAAGGAAAATCTATCCAGGGGTATTCCTAGCAAGAGGAGTTTGCCTTTGCTTTCCTCTGAGGCTGAGAGTGTGAATTGCCCAAAATCACCCTTCATGAAATTATAAAGTAAACTTGGAACTTCTAAAAGACCATCCACATTAACGTATCAATTGCAAGGGGCTGTACAGATAAATTACGGCAATTCCAATTTATTAAATGTCTTGAAACAAGTACCATATATACTCAAGTATAAGCCGACCTGAATATAAGCCGAAAAAAACTGGGAAAAAGTCTTGACTTGAGTATAGGCCGAGGGTGGGATATGCAGCATCTACTGGTAAATTTCAAAATAAAAATAGATACTAATAAAATTACATTAATTGAGGCATCAGTAGATAAAATCTATATAAATAAAAATGTAATGTTCGTTTGTGGGATTAGCAGAACTCAAAAACCACTGGACAAATTGACACCAAATTTGGACACAACGCACCTAACAACCCAATGTATGTCTTTCACTCAAAAAATTGATTTTGACATTTGGGAGTTGTAGTTGCTGGGATTTATAGTTCACCTACAATCAAAGAGCATTCTGAACCCCATCAATGATGGAATTGAACCAAACTTGGCACACAGTTCTCCCATGACCAACAGAAAATACCGGAAGGGTTTGATGAGCAGTGTCCTTTGGTTTTGGAGTTGTAGTTCACCTACATCCAGAGATCACTGTGGACTCAAACAATGATGGTTCTGGACCAAACTCTACACGAATACTCAATATGCCCAAATGTGAACACTGGTGGAGTTTGGGGAAAATAGAATCTTGACATTTGGGAGTTGTAGTTGCTGGGATTTATAGTTCACCTACAATCACAGAGCATTCTGAACCCCATCAACGATAGAATTGGGCCAAACCTCCCCCACACAACCCCCATGTGGGCCACAGCAACGCGTGGCAGGGGACTGCTAGTATTTACATAAAACTGTAATTTAAGATAAGACTGTCCAACTCTTATTAAAGCATTATGCTAACCTACTTCAATGTAAATGCACTTTTGTATCCTTCCAATAATAATAAAGAGTAAAATAATAAATGTAATAATAATAATAATAATAATAATAATAATAATAATAAAATAATGGAAATGTAATAATAATAATAAATAATGTAAATGTAATAATAACTAAAATAATAAATGAAATGATAATAATGATAATAGTAATAATAATAATGACAGAGTAAAACAATAAATAACCTTGACTCGAGTATAAGCCGAGGGGGACTTTTTCAGCCTAAAAAAGAGGCTGAAAAACTAGGCTTATACTCACGTATATACAGTAATTTCCTTCTGTAACAAAATATAGCCTTAATACTAACTAAAGGGGAAGACAAGCTGTAAGCCGAATTAATGCACTGGGCAGAGGATCTCAATGTTAAGTATGGAGTGCAAAATACCACAATGTTCCCTTTTTTAAAATAAAAGAATGAAAAGAAGTAGCAAACCATGGCGTTTTGAGTGTACAATCAGGCTGTGGAGTTTCTTGTGAGTCACAGCATGACACTCAATCCCTTTCCGTCAGCCTCATTCTTCACCCCCACATCCTCCCACAGTATTCAGTATTAATTCCTCGTCTCAGCAAATTCCAGACACTCCATGAAAGTCTCTATTGCCATGCACAAATATGACCCATGTAAATAGAGCTACTTTTGGCATTTTACACCAGGATCAGAGTTATCAATATGCACAAAGAGACTAATACCATCCCTATTTCATGGATTTGTTGACTTTGACTTATGGAAACCCTATGTGTTGTAGTAGAGCCTGTAAGTAACGTTGCAAGCAGTAGTATGGGTGCCAGAAGGGCAAAAAGGGTTACTCGTGAGCCAGAGTCTGATGAGGAACAACAGAGGAAAAGGATTCAGGATATACTTATGGCACCTACAGATGAGGAATCATTTGAGGGTTTCTCTGGGGTTGATGGGTCACAGAGTGGGGAAAACGGGGATGACATTGTGGATTGGACTAAGGTAAAAGAAGTGCAAGCTATTTGTGCGGAGCCAACATCTAGTGATATGTTTATGGGATTCTTTTGAAGTGAAGACTGGCAATTGGGGAATACATCCGAGTCTTGGGGGGATCTGAGTCTTGACAAGAGATGGAGAAGATGGAGGGATGGGCGTAGGACTTCACGTGAAGAGTTGGGAGCAGCTGCAAGAGATGATCATGGGGCGGTGGTCAGTTTATCTGATGATGATGTGTAATAAAAGTGGGCTCTGAAATGGGGAATCTTTGCAGAAGGCAAGGTGTTGCTATACGTTCGTGGATTGGGTACTGTCAGGATTTGTCGCTGCCTGTTCCATGTTGGCATTGGGTTTGGGATCTGCAGGTTTCTGCTCCTGTTCGTGTGTGCTTTCGACTTGGCTTGGATTCTCGTGAGTGTGGATTTCCCCCTTCCTTGATCTTGGACCAGCTTGACTACGACACTGCTGCTGTGGATTTTGGAACTTCGCTACTTCGGATTCTGCTTGCTACGACCCTGGACTTCGCTTGACTACGCTTTCTTCCCTGGGGCTTCTCTGTTTTGTTAACCATTTGCATGCTGTGTTTTGTGACTTCAGAGTACTGTGTTTGATTCGGTTCTTTTTTCCGGATAATCCGGATTATACTTTGGGTTACCCTTTTGAACCAGGACTGGTTTTACATTTGAGTTTTGACCAGAGGCATTGAGTTAAGTGTCTCTGAGTCTTTTACTCTGCCTTAATAAACTCTGTTTTTGGAACTAACTCTGAGTCTAGCCCTTTAAGGCGTCTGTGTTCCGACACTGAGTGAGAACCCTACAAAACTTCCTGTTATCAACAGCCCTGGCCAGAAGTATCAGCCAATACAGTTAATATTCAAGTATTTGGGGAGCCGAAGTCTAAGACACCTTCGAGAACCAAATACCAAAAACCACTCTCCAAGGCTAAGGATTTAACATGACAAATGGCTCAATTTGGATGACTTACCCAGCCTTCTCCAAGATCACCTTCCTCTCATAGTCATTGAGGAACATAGGCTTTTCTCTTTTCTTTTTGGGTGGATTGTCATTGTCACTGTCTGAGGCAGAGTCTGAAGAGAAACAAATTAATTAAATCATTCACTCTATGCATAGCCTGTCTTTCTCCCATTACAGGATCCAAGGAAGTATACAACTTTTTAAAATCACAACTTGCATAAAAATGAAAACACAATTAAGCCAAATTTCTATGAAATAATGTACTTTAAAAGCAAGGTAAAATAGTATTCAAAACGCTTAAAGCATAACAAAATAAAAATATATTGTCGAAGGCTTTCATGACCGGAATCACTGGGTTGTTGTAGGTTTTTTCTAGAACATGGCCATATAGCCCAAAAAAACCTACAACAACCCAAAATAAAAAATACTCCTCCCAGGCCCGTAGCCAGGATTTTGATTCGCGGGGGCTGAGTTTGATTCGGGGGGGGGGGCTGAGTCTGGGTGAAAGAGGGTCTACCCTAGCAAACCTTTTGTATCGTTACCCCAATACCCCCATACATATGGGATATATTGAGAATGGTGATCAGATCATGATATTAATAAACATAACAGTTTAAATAATGTACCAGTAAGGCCTTCTCGTGGACCACCATGAGAATTGGGGGGGGGGGCTGAAGCCCCTATAGCCCCCCCCCCCAGCTACATGCCTGACTCCAGCCATATATAATGTACAACTCCACACAGAAAAGCTGTCACTAGAAAGGAGGGGAGGAAGCCAACCAGGCCCCATCTACAGTGCCATGTAATGAAGTTAAATGCATTATATAAGTCTAAAAGTAAAGGTTTTCCCCTGACATTAAGTCCAGGCGTGTCCGACTCTGGGGGTGGTGCTCATCTCCATTTCTAAGCCAAAGAGCCGGAGTTGTCTGTAGACACCTCCAAGGTCATGTGGTTGGCATGACTGCATGGATCATTGTTACCGTTCCACCAAAGTCGTACCTATTAATCTACTCACATTTGCATGTTTTTGAACTGCTAGGTTGACAGAAGCTGGGCCTAACAGCGATAGCTCACCGCACTTCCTGGATTCAAACTGCCAACCTTTCGGTCAGCAAGTTCAGCAGTTCAACGGTTTAACCTGTTGCACCACCGGGGGCCCTTTATGAATCTATACTGATGATATTATGCAGCTTCAACCTGCTTTATATGGCAGTGAAGATGGGGTCCCAGAAGAAAGTTCTATAAATTGGGAGCAGCCACCAAGAAGGATCGCTCTCTTTCATGCCCTCACCATGAAAGATGGTGATTGAACTGATAATAAGCCTTCTCCAAAAGTTCTTAGAGCATATGTAGGCTGGTATAGGGAGATAAGGTTTTTTAAACAATCTGGGCCCATGCCTCTGCTTGATGATACAATCAGATGCAATGATGGCAAGATTTATTTGGTGCTGCCACTGCCACAAATAGGCTTTCTAATAGGCTCTAGCACATGTTCAATCACACCTGCTCCAGGTATTCAGTTATCAATGCTCTTCTTTTTGTCACATTTGTTTAATCACCACTGGCTCCCTAATCAACCAGGGTCCTTACTTGGGAGGAGACACTCAAGGACAGTAACTCTGGTCATTCCCATATTCCCGAGTTTAGTCAGGATTTGACAGTATGACCTACCAACAGTAAAGCTCAAAAGATCTATAAGGAATCAATTTGGATCCATATTCCTCCTAGACAAGACCATCTTAATTCATCTAACCCTGCAGATGATCTGAGTGTCAATAAGTCCAAACCTCATCAAGGACTGATCACTTCAGCCCCTTCTGCCATATAAAATCCAGATTATCTGTTTTGAACTGGATTATATGATAGTGTAGACTCAGTCCAGTTCAAAGAGAATAATGTGGATCATCTGCTTTTATTATCCAGATTATATGGCAGTATAGAAAGGGCCTCCATGACAACAGAACCACTGAGCATCCCTCACACCCAGATCACCATCATCCTACCCAGCGCAAAAATCCATGCACAGAGCGTGGCCTGCATTGTTTATCAGGTACGGGCAAACTTGGGCCCTCCAGGTGTTTTGGACTTCAATGCCCAGAAATCCCAGCCAGTTTACCAGCTCTTAGGAATTGTGGGAACTGAAGTCCAAAACACCTGAAGAGCCGGTTTGCCCGTGCCTGCTGTAGATGATCACAGGCATTGCTTGTGACACATCCATGGTCATCATGAAGGAACTGAAGCCCTTACACGTTCCCAACAGAGTGATAATGGTGAAGTGTCCCACACAACAAGCTCCTGCACCATCAGCAACTAACTCAGCCAGCTCAGAAAGCAGTGGGGTGGGTGGTACACCACCAGAAATCCCACTTCAGATACAGTAGACCAGTGGTTCTCAACCTGGAGTCCCCAGATGTTTTTGGCCTATGACTCCCAGAAATCCCAGCCAGTTTATCAGCTGTTARGATTTCTGGGAATTGAAGGCTAAAAAYATCTGGGGACCCCAGGTTGAGAACCACTGCAGTAGACGGTGGGAAGAGACAGCTGGGGAAGGAGATGGGATCCTAATAGACACTGCAAYTCCACCTCCCTGCCCTAAGATCTTGCCTGCATCTGCAAATGAGAACATGGCAGACAAAGATAATMATCATCATCATCATCATCATCATCATCTTTATTTATACCCTGCCACCATCTCCCCAATGGGGACTCRGAGCAGCTTACATGAGGCCAAACCCAAACACAAATTACAGCAGCATAAAACRGAAAACGCAACCCGAAAACACAGACAGTAAATAATATCAYAATTACATAAAACATGTGAAAACATAACAGTATAAAATTATAAKAAACACCATCACAGTGACATGTAAAATTTAAAAGAAAAGACTGATTAAAACTAATTAAAACTCGAGTGAGATAAAGAAGAAGCCAGTTATTTGCGGAGGAGGGCTCATTAGATTCAGCCTCTATCTCCCCTGATGTATTATTTTTGGGATGACTACTCAAAACCCTCAAGGCTGTATATCAGGGATAGAAACAGTCAAAAATTGCAGAGAAAAAAATAAACAGAAGATACCCAAAAAACTCAAAACAAAACCAGAGCTTGCCTTCTTTGCTGTAGAATAGGACATCCTTCTGATAAATCCGTGGATCCTTTGTTTTCAACAAGGCCAAGGTGCTATAAAAAGCACGATCCATTGTGGGATCAACTTCCTGCCAAAAGAGAGAAAAATACACCAGGTTAGGAGGATTATAGGAGAAACTACTTGTTTAACCTCAAGTGTTTTCTTTCTTGCTCAACAAGGATAAAGCTAAACAATTACAGCCAACAAGGAAGTGAATTTGACACTTCCCATTGACAAGAAGGAGACACAAAGCAGTTCCAATAGCAGCAACTTAAAAAGCCAATGGGATTTTGGGCAGCATCAGAAGAAGTATGGTGTCTAGATTGAAGGAAGTCATGATGCTTCTCTATTCTGCCTTGGTTGGGCCTCACCTGGAATATTGTGTCCAATTTTGGCTACTACAATTTAAAAGAGATATGCTGGAAGGCGTCCAGAGGAGGGTGATTGAAATGAGCAAAGGTCTGGAGACCATGAATCCCTTTGAGCAGCGTCTTAAAGAACTGGGTGTGTTTAGCCTCCAGAAAAGAAAAGCACCAGGACTGTGATGCAGCTGGCTGGGAGTCAGCTGCATTAAGATCACTACTGAGTTCAAAGCCAGCCCAGGTCGGAGTGACCTTCCAACCAAATTGTGTAGCTTGTTGTCAACCTTTGCAGCCCAAAAGACAGTTGCATCTGTCAAGTACAAAATTTAGGTATCACTTATGTGAGTAGATCAATAGGATTTCAATGGTTTCTCTGTGTAGTCTGACATTGTGGTTGTGAGAGTAGTCCAGCATTTCTGTGCCCAATTTAAGGTGCAGGTGCTTACCTACAAAGCCCTGAATGGTTTGGGACCATCCTACCTGCGTGACCGCATCTCCGTTTACGAACCCACACATTCACTGCATTCATCTGGAGAGGCCCTGCTCGTGATCCCGCCTGCATCGCAAGCACATTTGGTGGGGACACGAGACAGGGCCTTTTCTGTGGTGGCCCCCCGACTCTGGAACACCCTCCCCAAAGATCTTAGACAGGCCCCTACATTGGCAGTCTTCAGAAAGAACTTGAAGACCTGGCTGTTCCGATGTGCCTTCCCAGAATAGGAAATCTCCAATACCAAGTCCCATAAGCACTTTATTAGAATTAAGATTGCCGCACACTGCACACTGCACTTACCCTATAAGCCTTACATATCACCTGTCACATCAGCACTTTTAATTCTGTACCCTTTACTCTGGCCCGGCCCAGTTTTATTGTGTTTTGGTGTATTGTTTATTGCTTGTTGTTTTGTTGTTTAATATTGCTTTACTTGTTTTTAATTTGCTTTAGGTTTGTATTGTTATGTTGTGTTTGAGGCCTTGGCCTTTGTAAGTCGCATCAAGTCCTTCGGGAGATGCTAGCGGGGTACAAGAGTGGTCCAGAATTTCTATGTTCTCAAAAAATATGCTGTGTCCAGGTTGGTTCATCAGGTGCTCTGCTATGGCTGACTTCTCTGGTTGAATTAGTCTGCAACGTCTTTTATGTTCCTTGATTCCTTGACAGAGAAGCCATTGAAATACACAAGCATGTGGACAATTTCAACAGAAAGGAGGAAACCATGAAAATGAACAAAATCTGGCTACCAGTATTAAAAAGCTCTAAAATTACAACAGCACAACAACAGAGAGGAAACAAACAAGGACATCTAATTACCTCTCAACAAAAGTTTGCTCTAGGCACTGTCAGGCCATTATATGCTAATGAAGGTGGTCAGTTGAAACATTCACACCAGCAGACAAGAGTCCTTTGTCTCACCCTTGTCATTCCACAGATATGTAAACCCTTTTTCCTAGTTCCAACAGACCTCACTACCTCTGAGGATGCTTGCCATAGATGCAGGCGAAACGTCAGGAGAGAATGCCTCTAGACAGTGGTTCTCAACCTGGGGTCCCCAGATGTTTTTGGCCTACAACTCCCAGAAATCCTAACAGCTGGTAAACTGGCTGGGATTTCTGGGAGTTGTAGGCCAAAAACATCTGGGGAACCAAGGTTGAGAACCACTGCTCTAGACCATGGCCATATAGCCCGAAAAAACCTACAACAACCCAAATTCCTGACTGTGAGAGCTGTTCAGCAGTGGAACTCTCTGCCCCGGAGTGTGGTGGAGGCTCCTTCTTTGGAAGCTTTTAAACAGAGGCTGGATGGCCATCTGTGAGGGGTGCTTTGAATGCAATATTCCTGCTTCTTGGCAGGGGGTTGGACTGGATGGCCCATGAGGTCTCTTCCAACTCTAGGATTCTATTATTCAACACGAGACAGTGACTTCTGGTGAAGGAGCGACACTCTGCGCATGCTCGGAAGCACCCTTTTCTCCACAACTTCAACTGAGAAAGGAGGAAAGGAACCCTGGTGAGTTTCGACGCCTGACCTGGTCTTCCTCGCTGGATTCCGACTCAGAAGTGGTCTCCTCGGCGTCCCCGCCATACCGGTCCTGCACTGCGGGGCAGAAGAGAAGCGCAGGTGACCCTCAGAAGCTCCCACAGCAGCCCTTCCCCCGGCCGCCCCTCCCCTCCCTTCCCTTCCCCTTCCACTTCCACTCACGGCGCTGGAGCTCCTCCCGGCGGCGGTACTTCCCGTAGCGCGCGGCAAACGCCTCGTTGATACGGAGCTGGGGCCGCGCGGGCATTGCTCCTCTTTCCCTCGTCCTTCCCGCGTGAGAGAAGAGGCCCGCTTCCGGGTCAGGCGTCACGTGGTCTGCGTCCCTTCTTCCTTTCAGCACCGAGCGTTCGGAAATGGGAGCTGTCAATCAACGGAGGCTGCCATAGCGACGCCTTCTGCGGAGGCGGGCCTACCTGGGCAAATTCCTCTCTCCACAAGGAGGCTTAGCTACGGTGGCCGAGCGGGAGTGCCCATAGCTTCTGAACAACTCAATTCTGTTTCCAGAATTGGGCTCCTGTACCTTCTAATCAAGGTGAAAGAAGAAAGCGCAAAAGCTGGGTTACAGCTAAATATAAAAAAAACCAAGATTATGGCAACAAGAATGATTGACAACTGGAAAATAGAGGGAGAAAATGTGGAGGCCGTGACAGACTTTGTATTTCTAGGTGCAAAGATTAATGCAGATTAGAATCATAGAATTAGAAGAGACCTTGTGGGCCATCCAGTCCAACCCCCTGCCAAGAAGCAGGAAAATTGCATTTAAAGCACCCCTGACAGATGGCCATCCAGCCTCTGTTTAAAAGCCTCCAAAGAAGGAGCCTCCACAACACTCCAGGGCAGAGAGTTCCACTGCTGAACAGTTCTGCCGATGCAGACTGTGGCCAGGAAATCAGAAGACGCTTACTTCTTGGGAGGAGAGCAATGTCCAGTCTCGATAAAATAGTAAAGAGTAGAGACATCAGACTGGCAACAAAGATCCGCCTAGTCAAAGCCATGGTATTCCCTGTAGTCACCTACGGATGTGAGAGCTGGACCTTCGGGAAGGCTGAGCGAAGGAAGACGATGCTTTTGAGCTGTGGTGTTGGAGGAAAGTTCTGAGAGTGCCTTGGACTGCGAGAAGATCCAACCAGTCCATCCTCCAGGAAATAAAGCCCGACTGCTCACTGGAGGGAAGGATACTAGAGACAAAGTTGAAGTACTTTGGCCACATCATGAGGAGACAGGAAAGCCTGGAGAAGACAATGATGCTGGGGAAAGTGGAAGGCAAAAGGAAGAGGGGCCGACCAAGGGCAAGATGGATGGATGGCATCCTTGACGTGACTGGACTGACCTTGAAGGAGCTGGGGGTGGTGACGGCCGACAGGGAGCTCTGGCGTGGGCTGGTCCATGAGGTCACGAAGAGTCGGAGACGACTGAACGAATGAACAACAAAACCTTTAATTAATCTATATAAATGAAAATGTAATGTTCATTTGTGGGATTAACAGAACTCAAAATCCACTGGACAAATTGACACCAAATTTGGACACAAGACACCTAACAACCCAATGTATGTCCACTCAAAATTTTTTGATTTTGTCATTTGGGAGTTGTATTGCTGGGATTTATAGTTTACCTACAATCTAAGAGCATTCTGAACTCCACCAATGATGGAATTGGGCCAAACTTAGCACACACGGCTCCCATGACCAACAGAAAAAACTGGAAGGGTTTGGTGGACATTGACCTTGAGTTTGGAAATTGTAGTTCACACACATCCAGAGAGCACTGTGGACTCAAACAATGATGGATCTGGACCAAACTTGGCAAGAATATTCCATATTTATTTATTTATTTACTGTACTTATATACCGCTGTTCTCAGCCCGGGGGCGACTCACAGCACTGTACAATCTAGAGAGGATAGGGTTAGGGTTAGGGTTATGCCCAAATATGAACACAGATGGGGTTTAAGGGAAATAGACCTTGACATTTGGGAGTTGTAGTTGCTGGGATTTATAGTTCACCTACAATCAAAGAGCATTCTGAATTCCACCAATGATGGAATTGAACCAAACGTGGCACACAGGACTTCCATGACCAACAGAAAACACTAGAAGGGTTTGGTGGGCATTGACCTTGAGTTTGGGAGCTGTAGTTCACCTACATCCAGAGAGCACTGTGGACTCAAACAATGATTAATCTGGACCAAACTTGGTATAGATACTCAATATGACTAAATGTAAACACTGGTGGAGTTTGGGGGAAATAGACCTTGGCATTTGGGAGTTGTTGTTACTCGGATTTATAGTTCACTTACAATCAAAGAGCATGCTGAACCCCACGAACGATAGAATTGAGGCAAACATTCCCCACAGAACCCCCATGACCAACAGAAAATACTTAAGGCCATCCAGCTCACGACTTCCTCACAAGAAGACAACTTCACGACAACTTCACGACAACTTCACGAGGGCAAGAAAACGTAATCCAAGCCCTCCTGACAAAGAGCCATCCAGCCATAGATATAGATAAATATATATGATTCACATACACACAGATATAGTATCACAGAATTGAAAGGAACCCCTAAAGAAAAACAATTATATGTTGCATGTTCTAGAGTGGGCAAACCAGACACTCTCCACTTCAACACTGACAAAGAAACAGCAAGAAATACTGTTTACCCACAAGCAGAAAGAAAATATATATATTAGAAACCAACACTTTCTCATTACTTTATTTTCAAGATCATCAGACTGAGCCACAGCAACGCGTGGAAGGGGGCACCTAGTAGCTATATAAAATCCTCTGGTTGCGTGAGAAGCTACACATGCTGAATCTCACTCTTCTACGTAGCCATTTAAAGGTACAAGGGCTCTCTCCAATTTACACGCTGGCACTCTCAAGGTATCTTCATGTATTACGATGCAATGATATGCTCTGGGATATGATCCAATTCATTAAAGATGGGCTCAAAGCCAACTGTAAAAACTCTGGCATAGACACTGAGAACTGGGAAGCCCTGGCCCTTGAGCGCTCCAGCCGGAGGTCAGCTGTGACCAGCAGTGCTGCAGAATTTGAAGAGGCACGAATAATAATAATAATAAATAATAAACCTTTATTTATACCCCGCTAAAATCTCCCGAAGGACTCGGTGCGGCTTACAAGAGGTAAAAGAATGGAGGGCGAAAGAGAGAAACATGCCAAGAGGAAGGCGCGTCAAGCCAACCCCGACCGCCGGGACCGCCTTCCACCTGGAAACCAATGCTCTCACTGCTCTCAATGCGGGAGAAGATGCAAAAGATTTTGGAGTCCTCGTGGACAACAAGTTAAACATGAGCCAACAATGTGATGCGATGGCAAAAAAAGCCAATGGGATTTTGGCCTGCATCAATAGGAGTCTAGTGTCTAGGCCAAGGGTCCTCAAACTAAGGCCTGGGGCCGAATACGGTCCTACAAGGTCATTTACCCGGCCCTTGCTCAGGGTCAACCTAAGTCTGAAATGACTTGAAAGCAAACAACAATAATCCTACCTCATCAGCCAAAAGCGGCCCATTGAAATACTAATAAGTTTATATTTGTTAAAATTGTTCTTCATTTTAATTATTGTATTGTTTTAAGTGTTTTTGCACTACAAATAAGTTAAGTGCAGTATGCATAGAAATTCATGCTTTTTTCAAATTATAATCTGGCCCTCCAACAGTTTGAGGGTCTGTGACCTGGCCCTCTGTTTAAAAAGTTTGAGGACCCTTGGTCTAGATCCAGGGAAGTCATGCTACTCCTCTATTCTGCCTTAGTTAGACCACACCTGGAATATTGTGTCCAATTCTAGGCACCACAATTGAAGAGAGAGATTGACAAGCTGGAATGTGCCAGAGGAGGGCAACTAAAATGATCAAGGGTCTGGAGAACAAGCCCTATGAGGAGCGGCTTAAGGAGCTGG